CCTGTTTTCGAGGCAATCTCCTTTGATTCCGGTGAAAATGTGCTAAGCTTTCGTCCGTCATGTGACGGACATCATCAGAGCGAGGTAATGTCGTCACAACAAAATTCAATAATAGTTCCCTTTATAGTTGGTTTCATCATTATTCTAAAATTATCAACGACTAGTTGCAGTCACATACTTGTCACACTTTCTTAACTCCAAAGCTTGAATTTTGTTGCGACGATGTTACCTCGCTCTGATGATGTACGTCATATGACGGACGAAAGCTCAGCACGTTTTTACCAGAATCGAAGGAGATTGCCTCGGAAACAGCGTCAGCATGAATCTTCCAGTAAAACCAATTGACAGCTGGTCAAGAGGAATCCGCCGTCGTCTTCTGGTGGAACCGCCCTTCGAATCTCTTCACCCAACACTTCCACTCAAAATGAAAGTAAGCTCAACAATTATGAAACAAGCGATTCCTCAAAACCCAACTTTTCTTCGTTGGATTTTCACTCAATGATATGAGTAGACATGAAGTTTTAACTCAATTTCATATAGCCCTGCTTTCTCAAAAAGCATTCTCATCTGGGGTTTACTGCAGTTAGTTTCATCGACATTCCCTTCAAAGAATGTGATATGGGAAAGAGCCTGTCTTCCTTGAAATGCACATTTGTCCTGTGAGTCAAGGTCACCTGTGGCATTGCGGCGTAGTGATTAAGGCGTCGAGATCATACGCTGCAGTGTCGTGGTTCGAGTTCCGCTGCGGATGTTGACAAGACACAGGCGAGATCGAAACTGCAGTCCAGTCTGAATGAGAATAGCTTTCTGGAAAGCAAGGTTATGTGAGATTCAACAAAAACGTCATACCTACTCATATGATTTTGGGAAAATTCGACAAATGAAATAGGGTGACACAGCTCCTAGAGTTTTTTGTGTTTGGAACTTTTTCGTAAATAACGTTTGTAACATGATAGACGAAAGCTTAGCAACGTTACATCGAGGCCAGATAACAGTGAGCAGACGACTTCTTCACACAATCAAATAGTCTTCACCAAAAGGCAATTGGCCTTCGATTTTCGGTGAGATCAATTCACAAATTCTTTTCAACCAACTTTAATTTTGAAATAAGAAGTCATATTACAATATATTGCCAGATGGTCTGCACGAGGTTGACCTTGAGGCCTTATCGATTGGAGGCCCAACTTACCCGCATTTGTAATTTCATCTGACCCGTCAGGAACCAGGCGGCTTCGGCAACCCGACCCTGGACTAGCGCTTTCTGGGCCACTTGAGTTGGCAACGAGGCCTTGCGATTGTTTCGCTCATCCAAAGCGAGGGGCGGAGCACTGGAGAGCGATAGTCGAGAGATGTTAAATGGCTTTCGTCGCTTGTCGCCTGATGAAATACCGAGAACTGTGAGTGGAGGGGTGATCGGTGGTGGCTGGCTGTGGATTTGTGTTGCTTTGGGGGTTCTTGCTTAGAGTGTAAAGTAGGAAAAATTATTATTTTAAATTATTTCATACGTACTAGAGAATTAAGCTTTCATAGCCATCCAATTTGGGCTTAATTGCTTATATATTTTTTTCGTAAATGAGTACGTTTTCGATACTACCAGTAAATCAGATATGCGAACTGTGTTCACGCTATTTCATTCAGGGCGTCGAAGGACTAGCAGCTGAATTTTCACATAATCATATGAGTAGAGCAGACGTTTTCATTAAATTTCACATAGCTTTGCTTTCTCACAAGGTGTTCTCATCCAGGCTGAAGTGCACTGCAGTTTCGACCTCGCATAGGTCTTATCAGTGCGCCAAGCGGAGTTGAACCGTGAATTTCAAGGAAATGGAAAACATTAGCTCTATTCATATCATAGTGGGAAAAATAAACTGCCAGTCTTTCATCGCCTTAAGCGAAATAGGGTGAACACAACGCACATATCTGATTTAGTGGTAGTCTCGAAAACCTACTCATTTTCGTCGATTACAATAGCAAATAAAAGTTTGCTTCAACGACAATCCCAACACGGAACTAGGTATGGAAAATGCCTGACATTCTTTAAAATTCACATCTACCCTGTGACCCACTGGCACTCGTGGCAATATGGCGTAGTGGTTAACATGTCAAGCTTACACGCTGTACTGT